TCTAATTGGTTTTGACTAATTCAAGTTCTATAAAAAGATATGACCGGTCAAAGTGGGTCTCACCTTAAGAGAGAAAATAATCAATTTAGACAAAAAAAAATTATTTGACTAAATTGTTCAAAAAGGTGTATTTTGGAGTTTTAAATAAATTTTGTTGAGGATTGGAGTCAATTTGAAGCCTTTTGAAAGAATTTTTGTCAAATTATTGTTTTGTTTCTCTTTCCTAATCATCATTTGCTCAAAATGTGTGCAAATGGGGCCAAAATTGAGCACCCAAGGACTCATTCGAAAGATTTTGATGAGATGAACACAATGGTGATGTTCTTTTTCAAAAATGATGAGTCGTTGAAAAATTGACAATTTTCATGCATGAAAGACTTGGTAGACAGTTTTACGTAAAAATCATTTCAACTGATCATCATATTGGTTTGCATGGTTCTTATTAGTTATAATAAGCTTCATACAACTTTTAAAATAAGCTCTTGAACCTTACAATCATCTTTAGAGAGAAATCAATAATTCTAGGGTTTAATTGGATTGAGCTCGAGTGAAGTTCAATTAAGTTTCAATCAAAGGAAAGGGAATTGACCAACAATGAGGTCAACATTGTGGTCTTTGATACCACAACATAAGGGTGGAAAGATTATCATTGTTCTTATCATCCACATTTGAGGGGTGAGGGACTTTTATATTCTTAGAGATGGAGGTGCAACAACGGTGCAGTTGGGTATATGGTGGTGAAATTTGGAAGGGTTGCTAATTTGAAGCTCACGCACATCAGATGCTTATGAACATGAATGATCAAAAGTAGTTTTGATGTCATATTAGAAAGAAAGAAAAAATGAGTAATTGATCTCTATTAAATTTTTTGTTTAGTACAAGCATATATGTATCTCTATATCGTCAAAAATAAATCATTAATAAACAGAAAATATCATGAAACAAATGGTAAAGATCCTTAATAGAAGTTCACCTTTGAGATATTACTGTTAGGAATGTATGGCTCTATAAAGCAATGGCACTTCTGCAAGTTGATATTTTTTTAAGCTTTTTAAGTTTGTTGGGCCGAGTTCATACCAAAACCACAAGTGGTTTTAAAACTAGAAAATACAAAAAAAATACAGTAGAGACATAAAGAAAAAGCCTAAAAATGCTGAAATACAAAGTATCAGGTGGCTAGAGAGCAACCCAATTTGGTTTTGCCTCTGCCTCTAGTTCTAGGGAAGGAACAAGCTAATAAGTTGGTAAGATGATTGTCATTGCCAGCGGTAACCAATGTATCATCCAATATATTCCCTAGCTGGAGTCGGCCTCCATTCTTCTTCCTCCTCCTGTAATATATTTGTCATTCCTCTTCCGAAGATTGACTCACCTGATCTTGATTTACTGTGTGCTGGAGATGTGCAGATTGTTGAACATTAGAAGCAACAACATGTTGTACCGGCTGATCTGCTATTGGATCAAAGGAGCACTCTCGTGTGTCTTGGCATGTGAGTGAGTCTTTTTCAATAACAGTGAGTGATATAAGCACAACTGGATCTGTAGCTGTAGTATGTTGTTCTTTTTCAGGAACTGCGGTGTTGGGAAGAGGATCGGGTTGAGTCTTCTCAATTAGGATAATAGGTGGCTGTTCTTTAGTGATATTCGGTCTTAGTTGAGGATGTAAACGATAGAAAATAGTAGAGTTGTGGCCAAACATACTATAATGAGAGCAATAAGGAGGGTGTGGTTCGATTGCAATCTTTTGCCAATACCCGTTGTGAGTGGTTCCAATCCACACCTCATCCAGAGCTGGTTGAGTGATATCCCTCTCAACTAACACACAAGTCACAGAGGGTCTGGTGACAGCAAGCATAGGACTATCAACCCTGAGAGACTTATCGTAAGCAGTTGCTAAGGAGTAGAGAATTTCCAAATTGAACAGATGTAATTTTAACCCCAAAAATTTTATCCAAACTGGAATGATAGGGGACTCCGCCTTTGGGTCGAAATCAACAGTCCACTTCAGAATTTTTATATAACGGTTGTTGATCTTGATAACTTTCCAAGAAAAGATGCGGGTATAATCAACATCATGAGACAACTGAATTAGTATGTGCCGACCGTCAAATAAACTAATATTTCAACTTCCCAATAGTTTCAAAGCCTCAAACTCTTTCCGAATGATCTCCAATTTTGGGTTAACATAAATAAATTTTCCCACTAGAGCAAAACGCCAAGAGGAAGCGAGAGTACTGGTTTCAACCTTTGTAAGAATAAGAGCATGCTTCCCATTTTTTTTCCCCCAATTTTTTTATGAAGGTGTGATCGCCACCACCTTCAAGAGCATCAAGAGCATCGTGATCGCCACCACCTTCAAGAGCATCGTGAAAAGATTGAGGAACATTGCAAGATTTACCTATACAAAAATCAGTCAGGAGCATGGAAAGAGGAGCATGAGTAGGAATCGAGAGGTCGCCGGCAAGTGCAGTAGCATAAGAACGGATAGCCATCTCTGCCGACAAGATTCTGTCGGACAGGGAGCGGGGAGACGTCGTCTGAAAGGAAATGCGAATAGAGCAGTGCGAACGCAACCAAGCGAGCAGAGCAGCAGCTCTGTCGCCAGACCGAGACGAGAGGACTACGAAGGAGGCGTCCTGGACAGGCGAGGACGTCGTCTGGAAGGAAATGTAATAACTCAGCTTGTCTCGTCGTCAGGATGCGAAGACGGGACGTGAAGACGAGAGCACCTGTCGATGAAGACGAAGTAGACGCAGAGACCGAGCACCCGTTGACGAAGACGAAGCAGGGAATAGAAATGGGAGATCCGTGTAGCAAAAAACTAGGGTTCGCTATGAGGTGAAACCCTAGCAGAGTGGAACGAAACCATGCCGGCTTTGGGCCGTCTTTCTATATATATATATATATATAATGATGTGCAAAGTTATATATAGTAAAGATGCTCTCACTTTTTGTTATGTTGTATTAGCTTGAAATAGGCATAGAATGTAATGGAGCTCAAATTCCCTAAAAGGCGTAGTGCTAATTAATTAATAAACAAGTTAATCACCAAATAAAATAATTTTTGATCTGAATTTTCATTATTTCTATCACATTATATTACTGGTCTTATCAATAATCACTAAGCTTACAAATATTGACCAACAATCATGCAACCTTTATAAGTTCCTTCATTATTGCTTAGTTCTAGTTATTCTGTTAAAATAAATACCTAATCTGAATAGAGTGTTTAATTTAGTCCGTTAGTTCCTTAAATATGATTCGAAATAGGTTCTCAATTATAATCATTATTTAATTTGTTAAAAAAATATTTTAAAGCTCACAAATAAGATGTGAAATGAGGGCATCCCGCTCAAATCAAGAAGCATAAAAAACTTTATTTGTTTTGAAACACAATTATGTGTAACATCATTCATGAACTTCCCATGAAATTTTCATTGAATTAAATAATGATTTTAAGTATCCGACTATTTTGACAATATTTGAGGGGACAAGGGGCTAAATTGAATTATTTAAATAGTCTATGACTAAAATGACTCTTCATAAATAGCCCATGGAATATTTTGATCACTTTCTCGAATCTCATTATTCCTAGTGAAAAAGGGGAAGATTTTTTTCGCCATATTCTCTTGCGTATGAACACTTGATTTCTACATTTATAATGATTCATGTTAGGCTGTCATTTAAAGTGCCTACAATTTTAGCTTAATTAGTAATAACTCTTCTAAAGTGGTTATTGAGCAAAGCTAAAATAATATTTTTTAATAAACTGAAAAGTCTATAATAATGATATTTCAAAATTCAATGTCACTGTCTAATAGGTTATTTGAAGTGATTGAATAATCCCACTGTACCATGAGTGCCACTACGTTTTGGTTTCATTTTGTTATTATCTTCTTTAATGGAATGCTTTATCTCTTCTTTTAAAAATGATAAAGGAATATTTTTTCCATATAAGCAATAAATAATTTTAAAATTTGGGGATACCAGGCATAGCATATGTATTGCACATTGAACAAAGGGATGATAACTGGCATATCATATGTTGTACAAATTCAAAACGAACCTTTTAGATGTGCCAATAATATCAGTATTGGTGTATGCAGAAAAGGGATACCTTTTTGATCAATTCAATAAAACTCATTAAAAAATGAGCTATAAAGAATAGGTTTAACACCTAAATAAATAATCAACAAGAATGACTAAAAATGAACTTCAAATATGATGATGATGAATCAAAGTAATTTACAAATAAAAACTAAATGTGCATACACAATTGTTCTCCTTACTAACTTTGTGCCACTGACGGATCCACTAATGATTTACCTTTTGCGTGTTTGAGGAGGCAATTATTTCATAGGAAAGTTTAGGCTTTGCCTAACGAGCAAACCTTGGTGCGTGGTGGTTGAAGTTTTCTCAACATCTGGAATGGATTTATTGGGAATGACTAGTTACGTGAATGAGCTACAGAGTTTGAGGAAGTTAAAAGTTATGGAATGCTTATCATTGGCAAGGTAGGAATTAAATGCTTTAACCCTTTACTGTACTGCTGCAGGCCACAGAAATTAGAGGGAACCACTCTTCAAGTAATAGTTCTACGGATTTATGTTCTACACACATAATTCGTTCTAGCACACTATAAAGTCAGTCTTGTTGTGTGAAATGGTGAAGCATTTTTAACCCCTTTCTTAGAAATTTATGGCTTTTATACCTTGTGATATTCCTAGCGCTGCTGTAGCTTGTAGATGCTGTTCTAAAATGATTTGCAGAAATGCATATTCTTAAAATTTGTATTGAATCTTGAAATATAAAGTTAAATTGATTAAAATTCTTATTTAATCAGTAAAAGAAGCTTTTGCAAAAAGTAGAAGACATGCAGAATTTTTTAGACAAGTTCACTTTTATTTAAATTGTGAAATTTGTGTTTTCAGAATTTATTGACTCTACTTGGCAAGCATTTTTGGATGGCCAATAAATTCATGTTTATTTTTTCTTTTCAGAAATCTGTGCTTTCAGATTTGATTCAAGAGATCGAGCCTTTGGATTTGAATCTAATCCAAAAAGATGTTCCAGCTGTTACAGTTGATGCAATGAAGAGAACAATATCTGGCATGCTTGGGATACTTCCCTCTGATCGTTTTAATGTTGTGGTTGAAGCCCTTTGGGAGCGTTTATTTAAGTTATTAGTTTCTTCAATGATGACCGGGTATGCTTGCCAATTACTTGACTTTTAAAAATTCCCTTGTTTTGGCACATGGATGGACTTACAATTTAATTAATTTTATGTCCCTTCTTTACCTTGAATGATTCCAAAGTTTGATATTTTATTTCAATGAATGGGTCTGGACTTGGTTGTATTGAACTGCTTTATGATTTACGAGGGATGGCTAGGTTTTTTCTTAGCTTTATTTTTTAAATTTTATGGTGAGCAAATCAATTTAATGATCAATTATCTCAGTTTTAGGCGTGCTACAATTTAGGTTTTTGTTTTTCATCACTCGCTTTTGGATTGATCTATTCTCTCTGGAAAAAGAATGGGAATATAAATTATCCATGAAATTATCACTTACAAACTGATGATCAAACCAAGCGATCAATGAAAAGTTTGAAGATCAGTTGTACTGTCTAATAATAGATCATAAATCTTGGTGGGCTTTGGTATTGCTCATTATTTAATTTTGCATATAATTCATAAACCAATATATCTACCTTCTGTGGTTACCACACAGTAAAGACTTAGAAAGCTTATAAATTTTGTTGGCCTACTTATAGAATCTAGAACTAACACATTCATATTAGACATGTGCCTGATTTTCATGAGGTTATTCATATTAAACTAGCTATTATTTACCATAATTGTAAGCGTTTTATTGTTGTGAAAATGGGCTGTATTGAATTTACGCCTAATGATGAGATCACGGTGGGTTTAAATTGCTTTAATCTAGACATCTAAGAAATTTAATGAAAAAAGATCTAATACCATTTTAAGCCGTGCAATGCATCGGTTCTAATATCTGCAAAGAAAATTCTTAAAAAAATTTGGTATCCACTCAATTTTCAGTGCAGTTGATTTGGCTTTATTCATGAGCATATTATAAATTTTCTGGATTATGCTTTTTATATACCTCTTTTATATGATTCTACATCTAATCATCCACCAGATATTTCTATGCTTTTGTTTCTATGGCTATTTTTGTTGATGAAACTGTGTCCATTAATGATGATGGATTCCTGAAATATTTTATTCATAAATGAGACAACTTGATCGTAATGATTCATGGATCACTTTATGAAAAAATACAATTTATTATAACTTGCTTGATGAATATTGATGGATATTTTCGATTCATGTGGATATATTGAAAATTATTGTTTTTAATTTGGTCGAAAGCATTACATCAAACAGTGATCTAGAACAGTTTATTTGTTGTTTTGTGTAAATTTTTATGTAATTATCAATGTGCTAGTGATGATAGCTAAGAAAGTTGCATCTTATTTCTTAGCTTTAGGTTAGCTTGAAATGATTTGGCGTAATTTCATCTCTTGTTTTTGTTTTAGTTAATTTTCGTAAGAGTTTGAAACCTTTAAACTGATACAGCATTATATTGGTTAAATTGCTGTAGTTTTTCTTTTTGGGTGGTGTTTTAAGTGCATGTGGCTTGGGTGATGGAGCTTTGGAGTTATATACAATGAATTGAGGGGTGGATATTATTGTTTTGTGGCAGGTGATAGAGTTTGAGGGCGTGTTGTTTCTCCAGTCTTTTGTGGCCGTGCAGTTTCCTCTTATGAGTCCTATTTCCTTAGTTGATTATGATTTTCGTGGCAGTTTTTGCTTGGGGATAAGGCATATGGTTTGGTCCTCTTCTATAGCCCTATTTATTATTTGGTTGATTTAGCTAAGATATAATTTGAATCAAAGCCACAAGTTGGCTTAGTTAGGTATTATATGATTTTAAACTTAAATTGAGACTGATTATATTCTCATTTTATTTGCTAGTATCATTTATGATGGCTATAAATAATTGATCCGACGCATGTAATTGATAACTTTTGATTTGAATGATATTTCTCTTTTCAATTTCATTCATGCAGTGCAAATTGATGTGTTAATCTTCGAGCGTGGCACAATTGTGACTTCTAATTCAAAAACAATTTATCACCACATACAAAGCTCCAATGAGTTACACATCACATTTACATTCATGAAATAAAAAAAAACTTAAAAAAAAGTTAATTCAAGCCCAAAATTGTTAATTGCATAAATTCAATGAACTATTTATAGACTCTTTATCACCTAGGCAAGTTAATAAGGTTAGCATAAGATTAGCCTTAATTTAAGCTTTTATTATTTTCAATTGATAAAAAGAAATCTCCCACTTTAGTTTAACTCACTTAACAGCAGAATTAAGATTGAAACTATTTCAAATCATGTCAAACTATTCTGAAGATAGGAGATAAAGTACAGTATTTTCTGCCATCATCGTTGATATGTTCATAATTATATAGTCTTTTCTGCCATCATCACCAATATGTTCATAATTATATACAGTCTATCTCTATTCTTGATGCCAACTTTTTAATGAATTTTTCTTTGTTTGAATTTCAATATTACTTTTTTATTTTTGATAAAAAAATACCCCATCACCATTTATGGGTTGTTTGCCCAGAAGTTTCGTGCAGCTGGATTCATTGTAAACGTATCCCCGGTGAGTGTTCACTATGCCATGAATTCGCATCATCTGTATGGGCATTGATGATAGCTGTTAATTTTATATTAATTTACCTTATGTCTGCTTCATGGTGCTTCATTTCATGTTTTGGGGCTTCATCGTCCAAGATTTTCATGGTTTTCTAAGAAGTAGAGAGGTCTCTCGATTATATACTTAAAGAAGTTGCTCTCTTCTCATACAAGAGGTTTGGAACTCCGGTTGGATGGAGGCAGTCCACTACATCCATGGTAAAATTTAGTCAAAGGCGCTAGGTGCAAAGCGAATAAAGGCACTAGTTAAATAAGCAATTCAAGAACAAAGGGAAAAAAAAAAGGCGCTAGATATATATTCCATGAGCTCGCTCTTATTTGACGCCCCGGACAGGTCTTTCTTTTACCGAGTTGTCGTACTCTGGAGCAAATTCTTAGAATTTTGAATCTTTGTGGCTTTCACCGAATCCCCCTTGATCCATCTTAACTCTGAACTAGTTTATATTAACTTATGTGGACCATGACATGCTTGCCCAAAATGAGCAACAACGCTCAGTAAGTCGTCCAGATCTAATAGAGTGTAGGGTTGTGAACTCATGTAGATCCAAAGAGGGTAGAGAAGCAGAGGAGTAGGGTCTTTTAAAACAAAATGTTGCTGAGATAAGAATACTTAGGTGGATGAGTGGCTTGATACTTGGAGACAAATGCAAAACGAATCTATCCGTGAAAGGGTTGGTGTAGCTCTAGTGGTAAACAAGATTATAGTGAGTTGTCTTAGATGGTTTGGTCATATTAAACGTCGACCATCTGATAATCCGGTTTGGAGAGTAGATGTTTTAGATTCAATTTATGTTAAGAAAGTCAGTGGTAGACCCGAAAAAACCTGGGCATATTGTATTAAAAATGATCTTAATCTATTAGAATTAAATGAAAATATGACACTTAATAGGACACTGGAGAAAAAATGTTTGATGTAGCCGACCCCACTAAGTGAGATAAAGGGTGGTTGTTGTTGTTTTATAGTTTTATGTAAGGGATGTGCCCTTGTATCAAATGGATTGAAATATACTTAAGTTTTTATAGATATCCCTTGTACCTTTTGGATACAAGTGTAATTTATCATTTTTTTATTTTTTGGGTATATTTTTAAAACTTCCCTAATGTTTTGACGGAAGTGTGTAGATTGTTCCCTGTTGTTGATGCTACCCATTTCAAGTTAGTTGCATTCACCATAATTAGGAAATTTATGGTCTCATTTGTGGATTTTATTAGCTAGTGCAAATAAAATTATTTTGGATGAAGTTTACTTGAGATCCTGACTCTCTATATAACTGACTTTTTAGAGGGTTGTGGCTAGATGGATGAGTTGGGATTAAGCTGCAGATAAGAGAAGTGGTTGGTGGACCTCAGGAAAAAGTAAATGGCACAATTGGTTGGTTTAACAAGGGTGAAAATCCAGGTAATGATTTCTTAAGAATAACTTTAAAAAATGGAACTTATGGCTAATTCCGTTAGAACAAACGTTCAATAGAGCGGGGTTTATAGTTGAAGCAAGTAAACGACTGAATTAACTGTTTAATAAAAGCTAAACTGCGGAAAAAAAATTGAAAGATTTAGTTTAGTTTCAAAACCCCCAATTATTCTGGATAACACTTGCGTTCTCTTTTTCACAACAATTGCTTGCTCAAAGTTATTCAATGCTTATTCTTGATACCATCATCACTTTTTCTCGAGGAAAGTTCATGGCATGTTGGTCTTCTACCTCCATGTGATATGACTCTGTTAGGCTTTGGGATGCTTTATATTAGGGATTGAGATTGGTAATATAGTACGATACAAACCAATAAGCTGCTTTAGAACTGTGGGACAAATCTATAATTCTCATATTTTGGGTGATCAAATCTTTGTACGGGCTTAGTATCCTATTATCCTTTGATAGTATAATTTTAGTTTTTTGTAGCAATTATTTGCTTGTTATTGAGCTGTGTTGCTTCATTGGTTTCCTTGCTTGTTGAAAAATAATTATCTTTTGAATAGTTCAAGTGGAAAATGCTAATGTTTCAAGTTTTCTGAGTTTGTCTGCAAAAAGATAGGGCAATTATGCTTTTCCTCAGAAAGAATGAATGTAAAATGTAGATTCTTAAAGTTGGCCCAAGTAGCTAGGATAAATCTATGACAAGGTGTTGTTGATGCCCTTTAAAATTTCTTGCCATATTCTCTTTCTTGCACTCGTAATCATGTTTATTCCTTGAGAAGTTTCACTGTCTTTGTATTTCAGATATACTTTGCGCAATGCTGAGTACCGCCTATTCCTTGAGAGGAATGTAGAAATATTTGGAGATTATCAAGATAAAGAAGAGCATTTAGAAGAAAATAAACCTAAAAATGTGATAGGCAGTTATTCTGATAAATTAATGGATGGAACTTCCACACTATTTGAGCTTGCTGAAAGGGATTTATCAAACTCTAACAAAGGAGACGAAGTGTCACCATGTGAAGATCCTGATTTTGAAAGTTTGGGAGAAATGTCACCTCAAGCTAAAGAATATATTCGTAGCCTAACATTTCGTTTATCCTCTATGAAAAAGGTATTGACATTTAATGTGGATTTTTTTGATTGAAATGACTTGGTGGTTTCTACAACAAAATTTCCCAAGTATTGTGTATAAAGAGATAATTTTAAAGTTGATCCCTTTAATTGTGACATGCTTATATGCCAGAAAAAAAATATCCAGTTTCTTTGGTGGAGCTGTAATTTGGGGGACAGAGACTTTCATATTTTAAATCTATTACATTTTTGCACTTTTTTGTGTAGCTTATAAAATGGAAAATGGCATAATTCAATGTCCAATTTTTTTTTTTTGGGTGGTTCAAAGGAATAGTTCTTTATTAACAATGTTGCCCTGTTTTGTGTAACTTGTTATCTTATTGTATGCTGTGCGTGGCTTATAATTTCAGTTACTTTGTGGTTGAACTATATCCTGTATGATTAGTCTAATTTGCTTGTTCAATTTCTACGGATGTATTTCTTTCTTAAAGTGAACCATCTTATGCAGTTCATAATAGTAGCATGAATAGAGATGGATAATTATTTCAAATAGAATTGCTTGAATTTGTTCTTTTGAAATATTTTAATTTTATTTTTATTTTTCATGAATTTTTTTAAAATCCGCTGGCAATAGGTCTGTTATAGGCTAGTTGCATGGCTGTCATTTTGTTGATGTGCTCATCTGCAGCCAACGAACTCAGTTGAGGGGAAGGGAAGAGAAAGAAATGTTTTGGGGCTTTACTCTATTCAAGTATTGTATAAATAAAAATATACCAACCAATATATTGGATCTGAACCTTTAACTTTGTTTTAACATGAATATCAATACTACTCTTATTGTTAGTTATCACTCTTCTTTTAACTATTGAGCTTGGCTTTATGAATCTCCGTTCTTAAGTAATAAATCTATTTTATGTATGCGTGTTTACACAATTTTGAGCCATTTTAAAATCTAATTCTTTTTCCTATTTCCTTAACCAGTCACTGTGTTTATCCTATCGTAGAACAATTTTTATCATCATTTTTTCAATAAATATTATTTAATTTAATTATTTTTTATCAGGCTATTAGTTTCTTTACATACATTCTAGTTGGCATCATCATTTTTGCCATACTGACCTAGATTTTGAGTGAATCTTGGTTGCTAATACTCAAGATTCATATTAGCTGGCTAGTCTTGTTAATTGTGTATAAATTTCACAAACTTCATACAACTATTATACTATTTCATCATTTAACCATTAAATTTAACTCTTAAAAGTTGATCTGTTGAAATAATCCTTAATTCATGGCCAGAACTTTTTCTTCCATAGCAACTCAACAATTTATAGACAAAAACCTTTCTTCTACAACGTTCCAACTTTTCCCGGACATTAATTTTCTATACAACATTCCATTTAGCTGTGTAGTCAGTTCTAGACTCCAAAAATCTTTCCTTAAACCTTACCTTCTGCAGCCATGAAGATCGGGATTTCCTCCTGCGACCTTTCAAATATCTGCACGTTATCATTTTATTTTGATCGGCCATACATGTATTATGCTGTATTTGTATGTGATTATCCTTTATCTTTCACCACACATATCTTTTAAATTTAAAAATCTAACTTTATTTATTCCTTCTTATTTTCTTGCAAACCATGGTTATGGTTTTCCCTTTGGTATTTACTCAGGACCTACACGAAATGAACAGGAAAAATTCTGCTCTACAAATGCAACAGTTTGTAGGAGAAGAAAAGAATGACCTGCTGGACTACCTACGGTCGCTACAACCTGAGAAGGTTTGCACCTAATTTATACTTGGACTCTCCTTTGATACTGCTAAAAAATTTCCAAGTCATTCTGCCTAATAGGTTCTGTTTAATTGTTGAAAATGCGAACTAATGTTTTCTGATTGAATACTGCTTGATGTGCCTGCTTTTAAATTGTCATCCACAATGATGTGCCTGCTTTTAAATTGTCATCCAGGTTGAGACTTACTCATATTCAATTCTTATGCGAAGAGTAAATGATTGCAGGACCTGTTATATTGTTGTTGTTGTTACCGTTTCCAACTTTCCATTATATGTAAAATTCTATCGTCTATTTCTATGCATGCAAGGGCAGTATAAGAAACAATAATTATATTAGTTCCCCTTTGATTTGGGAGATTGTACCCGCACAAATATGTTTGATGCAATCCAAACCATCCATAGTTAAAACTCTTAGGGATCACTTTTAGTTTATTTTATTTTATTTTATTTCTTTTGTGTTTGTTTAATTTTTACTTAAAATAAAACATGTTTGGTATGTTATAATATGTTTTCTTTTTTTTAAAAAACTCGCCAACCAACTTCAGATATGTTGAGTACTTTTAAAATCAAGCTTATTTGTTTTTTGAAATAAAAATAAGCACATACCAAAAAATGCTCAAACATGTTTTTAAAATAAAACAAAAAAAAAATCAAAATCCAAAGTGATCCCAAACAAGCCCTTAATATATTAGAGAACAACTATTGAATTAACTACTAGTGTGGTGATATTGATGAGTATTTTAGCTGTCAATCTTCCTGTGTGAGTTCGGTTTAAGTTTTTAGGCATAGCCATGGAATTTAGACCAGAATTGTATTGCTTTAAAAATACAAAAATGTTTTTGAAACTCACAAAATTTGAATGGGTTGTTAAATCAAGTTAAGAGTAATTTTTTAGCTCCACTCACACATTCTCTTTCTTTCTCTCTGTGTGTATACATACATATTGTCTACACCAAAGCTGTCAGCATGGATCTCAATTCAATCAAATGGCCCAAATGACGGCCAGACGATCGAGGCGTCCTACCTTTCTACAACCAACTGCATAATCAAGATTCGAACAACTCACAATGACGAGAGATCCGAGCGGTAAACCATGGCTACAGTCCAGACCGACCAGAAGCGCAGTCGGGAACCCTTGATCGCGGTCAATCGGTCGTCCCACTTTTACCACAACAGACGAGATCGTGACTCGACCGGGCTCCTCGGCTGACAAACCCATGGCACAGTCGGCACTCAGTCAATCACCTCAGTCGGCCGAATTCCAGCAAGTCGGCTAACCAATTATTGTCATATTAGAATTCGAATTGTAATACATATATAGTATGAAATCCATATGATTAATTCAATTGTTTGTGTTAAGAGCGGTTTCCATAACTGCTTCATGCTTTCTATAATTGTAAAAAACATGTCTCTATAAATTTGAGGCGATATTACGAATAAGGGGGCCTCTCTCGGTTCTCTCTACAGGGAATTTCTAACTTATTTTACTCTCTCCCTCATTCTTCTGGTTTTAACTCTCAAGATGTATTTACAAAGGATAATTTAGGTTCCAACATCCTAAAGAAAGTGCAATAAGCATCGAACATGTCACAGACGAGATGTGGAAAAGACTATGAAGGAGAAACCTCCCAAAGTGAGAGAGCACATATGGAACCCAGTAGAGATACTACGCAACCGGAAGTCCATGTACAGGTCCAGGACCTACAAACCCAAATGACCCTCATGATGAAACAATTTGATATCCTCTAGTCAACAATTACCCAGAAAAACGATCAAATCCCTCGTTTGGAAGCGGAACCTCAGGGGATCCATCTCCAAAGTGCCACACCAAGGAACTCAACAATTCCAGATAACCAGGCCAGCAAGCAGCGGACAAAGAGACAAGGTGAGTCTCAACACCCTGACACAACCGTGTCTGCACAGGCGAACAAACAATGGAAAGAGGGAATGGAAATGATTGTCCAACCACTCGCC